GGGGGTCCCGGGGATATTTTGGGGGTCCTGGGTGGGATTTTGTGGGAATCTGGGGGGTCCTGGGGGAAGTTTTGGGGGTCCCAGGGGGGTTTTTGGGTGTCCCGGGGTGTCCCAAATGGCCCCAAACAGTCCAGGGGTCACTGGTCAGTCCAGGGGTCACCTGCACACCCGGGGGTCACCTGCTGACCGAGTGACCTGACCGAGTGACCACCTGCTGACCGAGTGACCACCTGCTGACCGAGTGACCTGACCGAGTGACCACCTGCTGACCGAGTGACCACCTGCTGACCACCTGCTGATCACATGGTCACCTTCTGACCGAGTGACCACCTGCTGACCGAGTGACCACCTGCCAAGTGACCACCTGCTGGGTGTCCACCTACTGACCATATGATCACCTGCTGAGTGACCATCTTCTGACCGAGTGACCACCCACTGACTGACTGACTTGACTGAGTGACCACTTTCTGACCAGGTGAAAACCTTCTGACCGAGTGACCACCTGCTGAGTGACCACCTTCTGACCGAGTGACCACCTGCTGAGTGACCACCTTCTGACCGAGTGACCACCTTCTAACCTAGTGACCTGACCAAGTGACCACCTGCTGAGTGACCATCTTCTGACCGAGTGACCACCTGCTGACCCAGTGACCACCCGCTGACCGCGTGACCACCAGCCGAGTGACCACCTTCTGACCAGGTGAACACCTTCTGGCCAAGTGACCTGACCGAGTGACCACTTTCTGACCAATTGACCACCTTCTGACCACATGTCCACCTGCTGAGTGACCTTCTGACCGAGTGACCACCTGCTGAGTGACCACCTTCTGACCATGTGACCTGACTGAGTGACCTCCTGCTGACCAGGTGAACACCTGCTGAGTGACCGCCTTCTGACCAGGTGAACATCTTCTGAGTGACCACCTGCTCACCGAGTGTCCACCTTCTAACTGAGTGACCTGACCGAGTGACCGCCTTCTGACCAAGTGACCACCTTCTGACCAGGTGAACACCCGCTGACCGAGTGACCACCTGCTGAGTGATCACCTGCTGAGTGACCACCCACTGACCAAGTGACCTGACCGATTGACCACCTTCTGATCAGGTGAACATCTGCTCATTGAGTGACCTCCTGCTGACCGAGTGACCATCTGCTGAGTGACCACCCGCTGACCACATGACCACCTGCTGAGTGACCACCTTCTGGCCAAGTGACCTGAGTGAGTGACCACCTGCTGACCGAGTGAACACCTGCTGACCGAGTGACCACCTGCTGACCACCTGCTGACCAGGTGAACACCTGCTGACCGAGTGACCACCTGCTGACCGAGTGCACACCTGCTGACCGAGTGACCACCTGCTGACCACCTGCTGACCAGGTGAACACCTGCTGAGTGACCACCTTCTGGCCAAGTGACCTGAGTGAGTGACCACCTGCTGACCAAGTGAACACCTGCTGACCACCTGCTGACCAGGTGAACACCTGCTGACCGAGTGACCTCCTGCTGACCAGGTGAACACCTTCTGACTGCGTGACCACCTACCAAGTGACCACCCGCTGACTGAGTGACCTGACCGAGTGACCGCCTGCTGAGTGACCGCCTGCTGACCGCGTGCCCACCCTCTGACCGCGCTCCCGCCGCGCCGCGCCCGCCATGCCGCCGGGCCGCGTGCGCATCTCCTTCCCGCGCCACGCGCCGG